GTCCAAGGAGGCAGCGTCTCCTACATTTGCACTCAGATCATGACCATCGTGGAGCAGGAACAGAGTAAAGTTGTTTGGATTCCAGATGGAGCACCGTAGAAATCTCACCTCTCACCTGTCACCACACGTCACTCTGAAACATTAGAGGGGATGTGATTGATATTATGGGATACACAGTGAATCGGTACATCTAACAGACATCATGGTTAAACTACAAAGCTTTTTCACATGTAGCATTATCAGCACTGATGATGATCATGTAATATTCCCACTACAATAGTGATGTACTGTACTACAGATAGATTTGTTTACACTAGTATTTAATACTTGAATGTTTTATTTTCCCTTACATCTAGTAGCACTCCTTTAATCCCACTCTGTCCCATGAATATGTCGGACCACAGGAAGTCTTCGTCGATGCAAACTGAAGACTTAACTCTCCAAGTGAAGATAGAGTGGACCACTGTGTTCCCGTCTCTATATTTATACGTATTTTCCTGCCATTTAATTTATCTAATCAAATCAAAGATGTTGGTTATGAACTTTTGTTATACAAATGTAGTTGTCTAGTTAATAGGAAGGATGATATTTTCCAGTTAATGTTCTTATTTATAGAGAAATTGGGGCAAGTTTGCTTCCTACCTTCACATTACGTTTCAGTCTTCAGTCTTGTTTTGCTCTCTGATGGCACTGCGTTTTTTTCATTCATCATTTCAGTCCTCAAAAATAATATTGTGCCAAGCTAAGAATATGTGCTAATCGCTATCCATTTGTTGGATTTATTAACACTACATCTTCCAATATAAATCACACAGCAGGTTATTTTCTGTATACCACAGTTTGTCCCAGTTTGAGTGTTCTACTGGTTTTGCCAATGCTGTTCCTCTTTCTTAAGTGGATTTTTTAAGAAGGGATATTTTATTTGTGATTGGCTGTCAACTAAACACATTTACACCTCTTGGATTTTTCGGTACATCACGTTGTCGACATTTCATGTTCAAGTTGGATGAAACACTTTAGGTCTTCTTCTAATGAAGGTTAATATTTCTATAAAATATTAAAAACAGAGTACAGTTATTGGAATACAAGTTGTCTGTGTTTTCCGTTGAAATGTACAAAAGGGTTCAAAAGTCTGAGGCCACTTGCCAAGATGCTACTATTGTGCTTGTGTTTCAAATGTTATGTTATTTTGTTTATTAGAAATGATAAGATCAGTTCAGCAATTAGTTAAAAAGTTGAATCATTGTAAAATGTACATGAATTTCAGAATATCTTAAGCCCCTTTACCATCCGGGTCAAATGACTCTGCAGTAGTCATTGTTATTTATCCGCTCCAGCTACGATCAGCATTGATGGAAACACAACACCTGGGTGAACATGCTAATTTTGCCCCCTTTACCAGCAAAATGCAATGACGTGCCACCACAAAATACTGCCTGTCTGCGCTCAAACATGGATCCAAATTAGTGTGCACCGAGTTTGAAAAAGAGACTGAATAAGTGAGATATTTAAAAGAAGTAGCCAACATTAAGTTTTCACTGGTCACCATGCAGCTTTCTAATGTTTATTAACCTGTTTTCAGGCCTGTTCATGCCGTCCAATGTGACACACCACACACAGAAAGGCATACTTGTCTGCTGCAGGGCCGTGTACACAGCTCTGGACTACAGGTAATAGGAAAGGAGTCTATAGCCTATTTTTAGCAGGTTTTCATGTGTTTTAAAAAAAAACCACAAACAGATGCTTATTTTGGTGGGAAGGGGGAATCAGTATATTAGGTATGTCCCCCTTTTGCCTTAATGACAGCATGCACTCAAGCTTCATGTGATGTCACAGAATCCTTGGCTTTTTCAGTCTTGAAGTGCTCTGATAACTGTTTAATGGGCTTGAGGTCAGATGAATGTGGAGGAGAGTCCATGACAGTCAGGACTCCTTGATCTTTTTTGGTCTTCATAGTAACCAGATAACCATTGACATGCATTCACATACTGATGGCACAGCCACTGGGAGCAATTTGGGATTCAGTGTTTTGCCCAAGGATAATTTGACATGCAAACTGAAGGAGCCGCACACTGGACAACCCGCTCTGCCTCCTGAGCCACAGCTAGTCAACTAGTTCCAGGGTTCCTGTGGATCCTTAAAAAGTCTTAAAAGGCAATGAATCCATTACTATAAAAATAAGGCCTTTATTGGTATTAGAATGTCTAAAATTAGTCTTTCAAAAGTCTTAAAAATGCTCAGACATGGGAAGTAGGATTTAATGAATCCTCCTTTTTTTCACATCAGGATAACAGAATCAAAAACACTCATATTTTCTTTCTGGCCGGCAATGCGTACAAGACTCGATGTATTTTATGCAAAAGGTTTCTCAAATTCGGCACAATGGGAATCAAGGCAGTGAACTTCACATGCACAGTTAGAAACATAAACACAAACAGCAGGTATTTCCCAGTTTTGTTGTACCCTCGTTTCTGCCACATGACAAGTCATGTTTTATGTTACATTTACAAATTTATCCCTTGTTGGTATCCATTCATGCCATTCATTTTTCTTCAAGGTTGATTATCAGAAAGTTGATCCAAGTGGCATTAAAAAATATTTTAAAAGTCTTGGTTAATTTGCCTCTAGCTGTAGGAACCCTGAGTTCATGCAAAGCATTTTAGAGTTCCATGCACTACCCCCTTAGAAGCCTTTAGTCTAGCCATGATTTTACACTGAGGGCCTCTCTTTGCGTAGAAATAGAATTTGACTCCTGACACTTCCACTTAGTCCTGATGCAATTTTTCCCCACTATCACAATGTCACTTAGTGGGCAGTGATCATCTGGAATCTTGAGGCACAGCCACATTTATAACAGGTAAACGCTGGCTGCAAGTTGAGTTTCTTGAATGAGCCTCTGATGAGTGGCTCAAAATCCACCTGAATGTTGTCTGATGCATGCTACAGTGGAACGATACAACTAAAGGATTTCTGAACTTTTTGCACAAAGGAGTTAAATTGGTCAATAACACAATTTTGGTTAAATTGGACTGCAGACCTAGAAATATTTCTCCTTCATTTTACATGTCATAACATCCTGTGTTTTCAAATGTTTTTGAATCCTTATATTGATTATTTCCAGGTTTATGTGAAAATATTGGAGATTTTCAATGTGGTCTCAGACGTGTGGACCCTTTAGTTTGTGTTACTCGCCTGATCATTTAAATCCTCAGCTTTTTGTTGGATTTTTATTTGCAAGATGGTTCACAAAGCAGGCTGACGTTTGTCAAGAGAAGTTGAACCTCAACAGTCAATGCACCTTCTGTCCACTAGGGGGAGTAAACCACCACTGGAAGGTAAGAAATGGTAAGATGTCCTTTTATCACTTTTCATACCACACTGTCATGGCTGCCTATTCTGTAAAAATACTCTTCTGTATGGACTTGTTTAACAACTTTACAGTTTATATAGTTTCACACTGTTTATCTTCCAAAGTTATGAACAGATGTGATGATCCTTTTTTTTGGTAAGGGCTTAAATATGTTGGAGATGCTGCTCTCATGGAGTATTTAGTTCATACTTTGGGGAGGATTTGCTTTTATAAACCTTTAATACAAACAGACATGCAATGAAACCATGAAAGTCTATTCTCTGCTATGACATCTTCAGAATTAAATGTTTGTGTACATGTATATTTGCTAAGATACAACAATATCCCAAAGAGACACAAACAACCACATAGATGCAAAGAAACACTAAATTACCAGAAAAAGACAGAAAAATACCTAAATGAGACACAAAATGACTTAAAAAAAAAAAAGACAAAAACCATTACAAAGAGATGCAAAGGAACTACAAAGACATAAAACAACCCAAAAGAAACCACAAATATACCTCAAAGAGACACAAAAAAGACCACAAAGTAATGCAAAAGAGCTATAAAGAGACAACACCCCCCAAAAAACAAATCTACCTCAAAGACATAAAAATGACTACAAAGAGATGCAAAATGAACAAAAAAGAGATGCAAAGGAACTACAAAGGGACACAAGATGATAAAAAAGACGCAAATATACCCCAGAGACACAAAAAGACTACAAAGAGATGCAAAGGAGCCACAAAGAGAAAAAAAAACATCCATGAAAGACAAAAGTGTACCTTAAAGAGACACAAAACGATTGCAAATCAAACAAAAAAGGCAAAACTACCACAAAGTCTGTATGTCTTCCTATGTCGGAGAGGACATTTTGCATATCTGTGTCCAGTGGCCCATTGTCTCATAATCCGTCCATGTTTAAATCCTATAATTTACAATAAGCCCATATTTAAGCCTGTAATATATTTTAAAACAGACACTTTTATAACACAGTATGAGGAGGAAACAAGAGGGTAAAGTAGTCCTAAATGTCACGTTTTTACTGTAGTGGAATGATAATATATATAGTAATACCTTCATACAGACAGGTGACTCTACACCTGTCTGTGCAGATATGTTTGACTGTGCAGATATGCATTACTGCTTCCTGTTTGTTACTGTTTAAGGGTCAGTCTGACTCTGTCCCAGGACAAGGACATCCACAGCTCTGTTTGATGACAAACACTGCACATGCTGATGTTTTGATTGGGACATGTAGGGTGTGGAAGACCAGGGGAGGATCAGGATGAAACCTCAAACGCAATTATTATTGGTAAAGGAGGAATCAGGCCATTTCCGGTCCCTAAATGTAACATGAACAAACCTGTGAATACATGTGAGGAATCAGACCCTTTACAGACTGTAATAAAGATCTTTATTTTCTTCTGACTTCACCTCTGAAAGTTGATGTTTTCTCCACAACATCACAAAACTGAGAGTGTCTCCACAGAAGTAGTAGTTTCAGAGGAAGATGGCTGTTAACCACAAAGTTACAGTCATGAAAAATTGATGAAGCGGTCACTATAAATAACCAGACATCCAGATAAGCATCGACGTCTGCTATTGATGGCTCCTCCCCCGCTACCTGTAAATCTGCGATGCCATCTCCCGACAAATGGATGTGACAGGCGGCCGTCGGAGCCCCGGAGAGCGAGGATGACTAAATCCGCTCCTCGACCCCAGAAACCATCATTTTTCAAACCCTATTTCCTGAGAGGATATCGATAAAGTGCGAGCTTTTAACGCGAGGAGCGCATTCAACAGTGCGCGCTGCGGAGCTCAAGTAGCGGAGCTGCTGAAAGCTGCGCTGCTAAACAAGGTGGAGGAGTGAGTCAGTGCATCGAGTGAAGAGGACAACACGTCTCTTCAATATATTAATAACACTTATAGGGTTTTATCAGTGGGGACTGTGGGGGACATTTGAGTTTTTGGGGAGTTTAAAAGAAGAAAATGTGATTTTTACGCACAGATCAAACGGATGACGCGCAATTCCAGCCATGAACGCGCATCGTGAGGCGCACGACTGATATCTAGATTTCAAAGGAAGTTTTTATCACTGTGCGTGTGTCTGCTGTCGACTCAACTTTTACGTCCTCGCTTTGGTGAAGCCAGATGAGAAGGCAGAGAAGCGGAAGGCGGTTGACTTAACATGGCTGAGCCACTGGGGCATCAGGGGGCGCTGGCCGGAGCTCCCCAAAGCGCCTGAATCCCAGTTGAGTTGATTTTGTTTTTTTCTCTGTGGAGGTGGGGAGCTGGCAGATGACCACAGGCCGATAATGTCGAAGAGGGAGAAATTCAACCCGGACCCGTCCATCCACATATCCAAGATGAATGTCATCATCCCGTTCTCACCAGATGTGCCCTGTGACAGCAACGGCCAGCGGATGTGGTGGGCTTTCCTCGCCTCCTCCATGGTCACTTTCTTTGGGGGTCTCTTCATAATCCTCCTGTGGAGAACTCTCAAATACCTGTGGACTGTGTGCTGCCACTGTAACGCCAAAAAGAAGGTACGCCCGGTCATCTCATAAAGCACCACCACACCCCATGGGATGACTTATTTATTATCACAGGGGGTTTTGTATTAGATCCAGCGCGTGACAACAATGTGTCCGGCCAGTTTGATTTATGAAATGGGCTCGTAATTAAATCTGTGTTAAGGCCCCATCGACAGGAAGCATAGAGCATGACTTTGAATAATTAACTCTGCCACTCTTGGCTTAATGTGTGACAAATAGATGGCATTAAAGGATTTCACCCTGCTGGTGAACTGTGGTGTGTTGGAGCAGGTTTTTAGTCAGTTGTGGCTGACACTTGTTGGTGGACCACCCTCTGATTTGCATTAGGTTCATAAAGGTACACTGATTATAAACTGCTTGTCTTCCTTGTGTAACTATGTGTTGATATTTTTATATTCACATTAACTGTTATTTGGTTGAATTTAGAGGCAAAATGCACCATAGCAGGTTCAAATCTATACAATCAGTAATTGATCACACTTCTTTAATCTCACTAGTGCTCTATCCTTTATTTTCCCATAAGATACCCTTTTAAAAAATCAGATTTTGTTTTTTTATGGTTTTAAGAATGGAATATTTAAAGTGTTGGTTCACGCAAAATGACAAAAAGAAATCCACATATTTCCCCACCTAATATCTTAAGAATTTTCTTTGCCCAGGTTTTGAGACATTTCCCTCTGAGCTTTCTGCCTCCACCCCAGTACAATGGAGGTGCACTGAATTTCATTAGTGCTGCTGAGGGCTGGATAATCCACAGCCAACATTTCACACTACTTTCTATCGAATAATTAGTCCTTATAAAACTGTTCACAGCTCGTTCTGTGACACTTTCTGGGAAGAAATGTTGTTGAGTCTTCTGAATCTAAATTTTCATTGCTGTGACATTCATAAATCAAACTTCATTTGCTGCTTCTTTTATTGGGGGCTGACACACAATTGATTTAGTTATTTGGGTGCACCTGCCCTTTTAAAGATCCTGTGTGTAGGATTTAGTGGCATCTAGCAGTGAGGCTGCAGATATCAATCAATTGAAACTTCTCCTGTGTAGAACTACAGTGACTAACACAAAGACATGAATGAATTAATATCTAGAGCCAGTGTTTGGTTTGTCCATTTAGGAGTTCTGTAGACACAACATGGCAGACTCCGTAGACAAGGACCCGCTTCGTATGTAGATCATGGATGTATTAAGAGACCTGGATACGGCATTAGAGGCATTCTCATGAAAGTTGCTCAGTGGTGCATGAAGCCAGATCATCTGCAATATTGGGCCCATAGTGCAAACACACTGGAGACTTACGGCAGCCGAGCACAGCTGAGTGCGGCCGAGGGGCTAATTTCAGCCAGTGGAAATTAGCTGCTGGCTGAATGGCCAGTTAGCGATCTGCTAACTTGAATGGAGACAGGTGGCTAAAATACGTTTTACTGCCGCCCCATCAACAGTTGTACGTTGCTTAGCTTCTGTGCAGGTAGATTTGGTTTATCAAAGATGCTATTGAAGCAACACAGTTCATAAAACAAGCACAGCATAATCGTCACATCGGTCGGACCATCGTGTTTATTTATCTTTAAACGTTATATTTACGGCTGTTTGCCTATTTCACATATCTCCGCAATCTAAAACAATTAGCAGTTATTTACCAAGTAAACTATAAATTTTAGTTTTTGAAATTTTATAGTTTCCTTGGTGGTCTACCAAGGTATATAAATACTTTTTCATTTTTGTTTGACTCGACATCACAGTGTTTTAGTTTATAGCCTCCTGAGACCCTGCGTTCGGGTCTCAGGAAGATATGTGACCCTTAATACTAACGACTGGATCTTTAAAAGGTTGAAAAAGTAAGATTCTTCCTGTTAAGACTGATGTTAAATCTCACCCTCAGCATCATGATTAATGCTTTCGTCAATACAGTCTGAGCTCATTATCTGAATCCCTGCAGCAGACCGTGCAGCACCATTTGTTTGACACGTTTCCAAAAGTCAGGAATAGTTTGTTTTTTTTCCCCCCCGTTCAGGACACACAGAGCTCTTCAGCTGTCATACATAGTTGGATGTCCAACAGACATTCTCCTACAGTGGTGTGTATCTGTAGTGTCTGTGTGCAGGCTAACACTCATGCCACAGTGTAATCCCCAGAAATCATTTTCATAACATTTAAGGCAGCCTGCCACTAGATTTTCTGTTTCACAATTGTTACGACACCATCTGCCGAGGCCGGCCACAGTCCTGCGTCAGACAAACCCTGCAGTTTCCCTGTTGTATAGTGTTCATAAGGATTTAAGTTATATCTTAAGTTGTATTTTAAAGTCGGTATCCTTTCTCTAAAGGACAAAGATAGAGCTGATAGAGGTGGCAGAGCTGGAGCAGTTTATCTTTTTATCTAATGTATGTGCATTCATCTCCCAGACGGGCAGGGTGGACGAGGAGAAATGGCAAAGGCTGCACACAGGGTGGTGCTGACCTTTTTGGAGGCAGACGTCTGTATCATTTCCATGCTTTGGTTGAAGCTGGTTACAATTAGGGCTGCAACTAAGGACTGCTTTCATCATCAGTGATTAATCTGCTGATATATTTTTGGTTATTTGGATAATGGCCGAGTTTTTTAAACGTCTGAAATACTAAAATTTGCTTATCGCAAGTACCCAGAGCCTGAGGTGACGTCCTTGTTTTCTTATCCCAAAGATATACAGTGTTAAAGCAAAGAAAAGCAGCAAATCTTCACCTTTGAAAAGCTTATTTTTTGCATGAGAAATGACTTTAAGGGAAGAATTTCAGCCGTAGTTACAATATTGAAAAGAATCCATCAGCCTGCGTCCAAGTTTTATTTATACGTGCACAGAAATGGAACAGAAATACATCTGTGAAAATGAGATCAGGATGAGGTTGTTGCTTTCAGAGTCCACAGTTGAGCACTGTTTGTGTGTGAATACAAGAGAGCAGTCAGATTTTTGTGTTTTTGCTCAGATTGTGCCAAGTGAAGCCGCTGAGCTCCACCAACCTGTTGTGCTACTCTGTGGGAGTCAGCCAGAGACGGGTCATCCTTTCACATCCAATCTTCCCCTCTCTGCCTTTTGCTCAGCCGCCGTTCATTTCGTAACTCCTGCCCCGTCTTCTTCTCACCCTCTTTTTTTCTCATCCAAGAACCAACCTTCCTCCAAAGTGTCAGAAATGCAGTGTCAGGCGCATACGGTATGTGCCATATGAATCAGTGTTTTTGTTGCTAAGCAACTAGCAAGCAAAAGGATTTCATTATAAGAGTAAATCTCTCTCTCTGTTATGCAGTTGTCTAGGCTGTGAGATGTGGCAGGTTGTGTTGGAGGAACACCTCCCCACCCCCTCCCAGTCTGTGCATGTCATTAGCAGCCCAAACATGGGAGCTTTCAGAGCACATTCTTAGCGCTCATAGATGGGAGTTGATAATCAGTTTCCTCCTTTTCTGATTTTCAGTTTGTTTTCCCCCTTGGCGGGGCGTTCGCTGTCCCCGTTCTGTTCTGTTCTGACAGCTCTCATGTCTCTGAGACTGAGCCTCTGTCTCTGTGGCTCTGCCTCCCCAGTCTGATGGCAATCGATGAATCTGAGCGTTTGTGAGGTTTTGATGAATGACGGCTATTATCTGTCTGGGAGGAAGAAAGAAATTGTGTTCACTGTAAATGGCACTGTACTCATGACGGGGGGATGACAAGCTGTGGCAGCTTCTCAGTCATTTCTCAGACTCACAGTGGGCAAGTTTTATTGGAGGAATGTGTTTCCTTGTTTGTTTAATGTGTGTTCAGGAGGGCTGCTGGAGGTTTGAGACACCATGTGTCCAACGGGAGACAAAAGTAGATGAGTTGTGCGTACAAGGTATTGAAAGGGGCCTCTCACCACCCAATATTTTTAGCCACTCTAGCTGCGTGGTTCTAGGGACCGCAATGTTGGCCAGACGACCACTTTAATCCTAAACAAACGACTTTCGGATGAGTTGCTTTAAAATTGGGTACGAACATTCATGTTGTAATAACTTTGATGATCCACTGACTTTTCCTCCAGCACCATTTTGAGGTCGGCATTCTTGGTTTTGAGTGAAATGTCCCAATGACTATTGGAGGGACTGCAGTGAAATTTGCTACAGATATTAGAGGTCCCCAGACTAGACCTGCCGTCATGGGCCAAGGTGGCGCCCATGAAAAGGTCTATGGTTGACTTTTAAATTGGATCAAGTACAATTTATTTACTGACTTAAATCACTGACAATACAAGTTATATTTAATCACATGATGAATAAATGTAATTTCATAATTAAAACACATTTTAACTTGCCATCTGATACCCCCACCCCCTGCAGATATGGTGAAATGGTGTGGTCAATCTGACTGTGGGGGCTAAGTGCCACTAATGTAAACACTTTTCTCTAATCATTCATTGGAGGGGTTTTTTTTTGGCTCAAGACACAGATGTGACTACCTCTGCTTTTCAGAGTGAGGTCTTGTACAGTCTACAACAGTACAGATTTCCTAATGGCTTGCCTGCCCCTGACTTTTCATAAAGGACCATCATCAGGTCAACATTTTAGTTTGTCCAGTACTTTAGTTTATGACTATATATTAGGGATGTCCCGATCCAGCTTTTTCACTTCCGATCCAATACCAATATTACAGCCTTGAGTTTTGGCCGATACCGTTACCAATCCGATCCAAGCGCGTATTATACATATTCACTTATTTTGTTGTCAGTCATGTTAGAAAAGGTTTGATTAAGCGATATTACTCTAACAAGAACAACTACTTAATCAAGTTAGTTAGAATGATCCACAACAGTTGGTATGAGAAACTGACTTGTTTATTGTTAACAGGGTTAAATAAATAAACTTAAACTTGAACATTAAATAAAAAATATAGCTGGTTTCCTTTGGCTGCTTTGGCCCCTTAATAAATAGAAAATAAATCAACACAAGAAATCTTTAAAATGTTTAACATTGAAATAAAAATCGCAACAAGACTCCACACACTTGT